CATGTAGGGAAAAGTGGGGTAAAACTGAAAAACTAAGAAAGCCTTTTGAACTTAAACCGTTCGTCCAGGAAACTGTCAGATTTATTCAAGGTTTAACTGTGCACAATGCATTCAGGAAAAGTCATAAACATACTACTTTTTTTAAATGATTCTTTTCTAGAAAAATTTAAATCACCCGGTGACATGTATATGTATAATGCACCAGTTTTACCTCACTAGTGGAGTAAGACCAGGTACACATGTTAACTAAATGGGAAATTTATAAATTCTAGAATTTGTGTGAAAAAGTAGTATACATTTCCAATTTATGAGACGATTTATGAGGCATGAAATTACTGAATAATTGACTAATAAATGCTGTCATATAATGTGTAGCATCAGGAAAGTGTAGATAAGTAAGAAAATATTTATAACCAACCTCGCACAATTGTTGTAATAAATTCTTCTATGATATAAGAAAAATCAGAGAAATATACTCTGATTCACTTCAACAACTCCTACAATAAATATGAACTCAAAAAAGAAAATTTATTGAAAAGTTGTTGACTGTTGACTGTTTTCGTGCTTATTCAAAAAGGCAGGTATCTTAAAACTTGTAACATAATTATCATTCTATATGTGTCAAAAAAATCGTCTTTAAATAAAATTTTGCATTCAATTGTTACTGAAGATTTCATTAATTTTTAAAAAGACGCTTAAATATACAAAAAAATCTCTAAAGATGCTAACTGAATAATTGGCTACGAAAAACTGTCATAGACTGACCAAGTTCTGACTAAACTAGCACAATTGTTCTAATAACTCTTCTATGATATAAGAAGACTCAAAGAAAATTAGTTTCAATCTCTGATGCAGTGAATAAATATAAATCTAATAGTCTAAGATAATTTAATGAAAAAGTCATTGATTGTTGCCAACTATTGCACTCATTCAAAAAGACAGGTGCAATATAATTCAATAAACACACTTAGCATTCCATTTATGTCAAAAAGAACTCTTAAATAAAATAAACTTTTACATTTAATTACAACTCAAGATTTAAGTAGTTTTTAAAAAGACTCTTAAATCTACGAAATTAAAGGTGATGACTGAATAATTGGCAACGAAAAACTGTCATAGACTGACCAAGTTCTGACTAAACTAGTACAATTTTTCCATTAACTCTTCTATGATAGTAAAAAAACTCAAAGAGAGACGTACTTTGAGTAATTTCTACCTCTTATGCTATGAATAAATATAAATCCAATAGTCCAAGATAATTTAATGAAAAAGTCATTGATTGTTGCCTACTTTTGCACTCACTCAAAAAGACAGGTGCAATATAATTCAATAAACACACTTATCATTCTATTTATGTCAAAAAGAACTCTTAAATAAAATAAACTTTTGCATTTAATTACAACTCAAGATTTAAGTAGTTTTCAAACAGACTCTTACATCTGCGAAATTAAAAAAATTACTGAACATTTGGCAGCAAAAAAATGTAATAGACTGACCAAGTTCTGACTAAACTAGTACAATTGTTCCAATAATTCTTCTATGATATTAAAAAAAAACTCAAAAAGATGTACTTTGAATAATTTCAACCTCTGATGCAATGAATAAATATAAATCTGATAGTCTAAGATAATTTAATGAAAAAGTCATTGATTGGTGCCTGCTTTTGCACTCATTCAAAAAGACAGGTGCAATATAATTCAATAAACACACTTATCATTCTATTTATGTCAAAAAGAACTCTTAAATAAAATAAACTTTTACATTTAATTACAACTCAAGATTTAAGTAGTTTTTAAAAAGACTCTTAAATCTACGAAATTAAAAGTGATGACTGAATAATTGGCAACGAAAAGCCATTTGATCAATTGCCGTCCAAAGAGAGAAGTCGAAGAATAAGAAGAAAAAATTCTTCGGAATTCTTCTTCTTAATTAGAACAACCATTAAAAAAGATGGCCGCAACTGCACAATTGCATTTCCTCCAGTGGACACAAACTCCTGAATGGAACAAGAAAACTCAAGAGAAATATGTTGTCTCTTCCTTTCACGATTTTCATTTCTATGATCTGGGGGAGGGATGACATTTCGTGTTTTCCGTCTTAAGGACGCCCTTTTATTTCTCTTACTTTTGAGTTATGAGAGGAAAATCATCGTCTCTGCTTCCTTTTATAAACGACCGCTCTTTCATTAGTAACACACAATTTTTCGAGAGTTTGTAGCAAAGTACAAGATGAAAAGAAACTTTAGGTTCGTAATGTGAATGTCTAAAGCTTCTGTTATGTGACTTATTAAAGAAAAAAAAGAGTTATACGAAATTTTTATAACGCTTTTAACTTTAGTTACAGTTTTAAATATATGAACTTTATATAAGTTTAAAAATTTATTTTGTAAAATATGTCAGTTTGTTCCTATAAAATAACACATTTGGGTAGTGATATAAATTATTTTCCTTGAATTAAATGTTAATAAACTGTGTGATATTAATACCAATGCATGTATTACTTATTTAAGATTGCTTATTTATAATAACAAAAATGTTTAGTTTTGTTATCGTAATTTTAACTTTGAAGATTCTTAATAAAATTACTATATAGCATACTAGATTTATTTTATTCATAAACATCAAAAAGCATGAAGAGTATTTACATTCAGGACATAAAATTTATAAAAAATATCTGTCATTAAAATATTTTAAGATGTTATGCAATAAAATTATGTGTTTTTTTAAAGTTTAATCCATATTGTTAACTTTTTAGATTGATTTTACATTTTTAACAAGCTTGTATATTTACAAATGCATGATGAGTTTAAAAATATCATTTTTCTGACATATTACCAATAGTTTTTCAATATTTTTTTTTTTGCTTTAAACCTGAATATACATTTTTCTCCGTTTAAATTTTTACTTCTGAACTGTTTGAAGGTATTTTTGAAGTATGTGCACAACGAATGATTTCTAAAATACTTTTTGAACAAAAAATTTCTCAGTCAATAGTTTATGATACAGAATAATATGTCATTTGCTTTTATTTTCTAAAACTAACATAAATGACGATAGCGTTAATCATATTTGTTTAAATATGCGATTGGTAAAAAAAATTCGTTAAATTAAATCTTAAATAAAATACAGTTTCAAATACAGTTTCAGAGAAAAATATCATTTAAAGAGATTTTAAATAGCAAGTTGGTTTTATATTACCATGTTCTTACATTCTCTAAATTATTTAGAACATGAACCATATTATTCAATATAATATTAGTGTAAACACTATCTATATGCTACAATCCAATAGATAAAATTTTGCCGCTCCCATCCCTTCATTTTGTTCTTCCCATCAAAAATATAAGCTATATAAAATTTCACTGGAATCCGACATTGACATTATTAATAAAAGTCTATTATTATTTTTTTCATTTTGTTAATCTATTTATCTTTTATAAAGTTCTATTGAAAAGTGCTTGATCGGATTTTTTTATTATTTTTTATGACATGCCATGTAGGTTGGGCCGCATTCGATCAAGAGCCGCATTGAAAGCGACATATTGTATATCAGCCACCAATACAGGTGCTTGAATGAGCCCATATGGCTGGTCTGGGCATATAAATATTTTGGATCCCATGTTCTCCTCTCTTTTTTTAAGGCGCTATTGGCCTTATTTTCTCTTTAAATCATCACAAGGGACGGATACTTTGAACTCATATTGTTATCGTTATTATGGAATATGAAAATTCTCGTCTTATGATTGACCAGTCAGATCTCCAACTCCAAAATTATAGGGTACGGTTGAGATACTCTTGAGAAAGCATTTTCAATTGCTAATCCTTCTTGGGGAAATATTCCAGCCCTGAAAACTACATTTCTCAACCAGTGGGACCATGTACCACAGAGAATACCCTAACTATAATTTTTGGTTTAAAACATTTTATTTAGTGGCACTTGACTCCATGTTGCACTGGGTGCTACAAACAGGAGGCAATAATGACCTTTATTTATCGTTTCCATTTATTTTTATTTCCTGTTTTTCTTAGATTTATATTTATCTTATTTATGGAATATTTGTTTTTATGAATATGTATCAACTTCAATTTACCAGAATTTTTTTTTCCAGGAAATTAAATATTTCAACTCAAAAATGATATGAACTATTTTTTTTATAGAATTATATTAAATTACTTGCATATAAGTAAAATGTTAAATTTAATTAAGAATTCCTCATAAACTAAAGACTCCTTATTAATAATAAAGTTTAATTAAGGCAGTCATAAAATAATTTCCAAACTACTCAGAATGCACAAAATGTCCAGAATAAAGTGTTGCTCTTTCCATGTATTTCGTTAATACCTTTCCCTATTTTCATATCATTGTGCAAACAAAAACGAAATAATATAGAAATTCGTATAAGAGCGTCTTTTAAATACTTATAAAAATATCTAGCAGGAATTTTCTTACAGGATTAAAACTAAGCCTTTTCCAAAAATTTTGGTTCTTTAAGATCTCAAAATTTAATCAGGTCCGCCATATTTCACATATTTACTTCTCTCATTGTAACGGAGCTTAGTATTCTATAAAAGTAAGGATTATATTTAAAGTTTTAACTTTTGTGTTTAGTGTGGTTATGTGTTGTATAATAAAGTAAATTTACTGTGTAATAATGAAAGATTTTATAGCTTCCATTATGCAGTAGACTTAAGAATTTCCGAAATTAAGCAGCAGTAATTTAATTCAAAATACTTGGAGGCTTCCCAGATTTCAAGCGTTAGTAAGCTTAAATTATTTCATTAAATTTATTAGTTTTATTTATAATAAATTAGATTTAATTTATAACTATATTATACTGATATGAAATTTAAAAAAAACTACATGAGTGCAACTCTTTCATATAAACACGTGTGTTTTTTTTGTAATTACGTAGCAGTAAAAATCAATCTGATGAAATAACTTTCTTAACTTTAAAACAATTGCAATCATATCTGAATCAGTTTTTTTCTTTTTATCCATAGATAGACCTATCATTCTGAAAAATTTACTTCACCGAAAAGTTGCCACAGGAGAAAGAGAATATGGTGAAATATCATGTTTTGCTGAAGGTTATCCAGAGGTGACCTTTACTTGGTCGTTCAATGGATCTACTATAAATTCCGTTCATTTGGATTCTATGAAATATAGTTTAAAACAGAACTTAAATACTCAAAACCAGTGGTCAAGTACACTAACGATTAGAAATGTGGTGGAAGCAGATTATGGTGTATATACTTGTATTGCTGGAAATTCAATGGGCCACGACTTTATCACATTTAATCTTGTGAAAAGAAGTAAGTAACATTATTTAAAAATAAATTAGCATAAGTATGTGCATGATTTTTTTTACGGCAATGAATTGTGCGTTACATAATAGATTTACAGTTTGACAATATTTTCGAATCAAAAAACTTTTTTCTCGAAACATGCATCGATTGTTAAACAACTACCTTCACTTATTCAAACCCCCTATACCAGAATATCAAGTAAGCAAAAGCATTTGACTAAAATTGGTTCCTTAATAATTTTGCGCGCTCAAATTAACTAATCTAACATTAATGCTTATAGGGAAAAATCACTAGAAAATAATGAAATAATAAAATATTGTTAGTGCAAGAGATAGCTGCCTCAAATTGATGCCACATATTGAATTGTATGGCTATAGGGAAAAATTACTGAATTTGAAAACTAACCGTCTTTGTGTTTTGATGAATAATGTACGACTATTACGCATGTTTGAAAGAAGTTCGAATAGCCTCAAGATAATATTTGTGGTTACAAAGGTCATTAAAATATAAACAAAGTAGAATTTTTATTAATAGTGTGCGCCGACTGTAACAACGGCATCATATTTCAGTATACGAACATATCACTCAACCATGACCAAGCAATTAACACCCTTTTTAGGGCTCTATCTTTCAAAAACCATGGTGGAAATGCATCGTAATTTTAACCCTGGTCAGATAACGTGAATGGTGTCTGATCTGGTACCCAACTATTCAAACCACTACAAACTAAGAGACTTTTTGTCGTGACAGATTTAACGTGCACATTGTTGTAAATACACGCCGATTGCTTTGTCTGCTCACAGGGTAGAACTTATGATCTGCAGATCTCCATCAGCGGGGTTTTCATTCTACGCACTCAAACTTGGTAATTATGGAGCACGAAAGGCACGCAGTGATAAATTCCTCGCGTTACAACCTGTATTTCGTACTAAACCACTCCATTCACAATGATTTTTTTTCACAATTTTGGAATTTGGATTGTTATTTTCTTAACACTTTGTACGCACGTTAGTTTAAATTAGGCAATAAGTGTATAGCCTAATGTTTAGATATATAGTTTATTTGTAATATTTAGTTGAGTGAATTAATTGTAAAATCTGTTCTAACGTGATGGTACAACATATAATCTCAACAAGAACAAGAAAATATACTTTAAATTTAATACATTTTTTAAAATGTTTCTGTTTATTTTGTAGCAGATAGATTTTTTATTGCAAATACAACAAATCAGAAAAACATTTTTAAACGTTGAAGTTCATTTAAGACCGTTTCGTTTTATATCACAGTTACGCAATCCTTTGTATAGGAAACAAAATTCTTAATAATGATAGTGTGGCTTACTATTGGAGTTCTTTTTTAAGGTGTTTTTGAAGATCATCGTTATTATCACCAAGTTTTTAATGTCCCTGTACAAAGAAAGATAGTATACTCAACTTGTCCAAAAATATCCGAATACCTAACTTAAGCATCATAGTGTTGTGTGTTTTTCATGGTCTGAGCTTTGTTTCTGTGATTTGAAACGAAAACTTGAATATGTATGAAGGCATTCTAATCCCTCAACTCTATGACAATATTTCGGCTCATTCCTCTTTCAATAGGGTCATTACTCCAATCTGTGTAGTCATAGGTTGACGAAAAAAGTGCTATACTAATTTAAAAAATAAGGTTTCAAGTATCCGTTTCTAACTCATTTCCTAGTTTTTTTTAATATATAAATAAAAACAAATTTAAAAAAATAATAAACTGGGTATGAAAGAAACTATTATTTCATTAATTGTAGCATTCCATTTGAATTTAAATGCATTTTTGTGCTAAAATCTAGAAATTATTTTTATAAAAAAAAAAAAAAAAATCATATAATAGGTTTACGATTTAAAAAAGTTTCCAATGAACTTCAAACATTTTTTTTAAACTGTTAAAGTTTTGTTGTTCGAAGTAAGATTTAATTATATATATTAGTACGGAATAAAAAGTTGTATACCTTTATCTTAGGTGGGCATAGTTCATTTAATTTATAATCTCAAACAAAATTTGAATACATACTTTATCAAGAATTTTACTAATAAGATCAATTTTATTTAGCTGGATACTTTATCACAAATAAAAAATAAAATTTTCTCGGTGAGATTCAATTCGAAATTCTTTTTAATTTAATTCGATGGCAAACTTTGTGAATATATATATATTCTCTCTCTTCTTCAATTCAACTTATTTGAATTCCAATTATGGTATGATCGAAAAATCCAGCATCACGTTTGAATGCTTTTAAATTAAATTATTTCGACCAATTGTACTTCACTTGTGTTCGAAGCTAACTTTCGTTCCTATTAGTAAGACAATACGACATTTTTAAACTAACAACGAAGTTCTCAAAAAAGTTGATTTTTTCTTGCATTCCAGAAATATTATATATAAATAGTTTGTGTCCATGCATCAATTGGTTAACATTGTAATACAATACGTTAAAAATAAATACAAATAGGGAGTATATAAAAAATCTCATTAATAAACACCCATTACATGTATATTTACGTATAAAAGTAGTGCATATAAACTAGTGCAAAACGTTAAATTATTAAAAAACCACAGTACGTCTAATAATTTGGTCTAATTGTTATAATATACTACTATAATACCTGGTATAAAAAATATTTTTTATATA